CATGATAGCAAAGGGGATGACTTACACTGTAATCAAGCCTAACTAGTCAAAGACTATCAGGAGTCAGAGGTGATACATTTATCTTCGTCAGGACCTAATGCTGGATTCATCTTCATCACCTATCACTGTGACATCATCAGATTGTGTGGGGCTTCATGCAGCTTCAATATGAAGTCTTTCAGAACCATTACCTTAAGAACAGAATTTATTGCCTGAAAGGGTCGTGATAGCAGATTTAGTATTAATTATCAAAAGGGAATTGGTGAAAAGCTGAAGTTAACAGGGCCATAGAGGGAGAAGGACTAATTCAATGTCTTTGTCAAAGAGCCAAAACAACCATGTTGCGTTGAAGGCTTCCTTCTGGCCTGTAAGATTCTACTTAGTGCTGCCTCCTACAGCTCAACAGAGGATGTGTTTAGCTATGTTGGTCCTTAAAGCTACTTCTGAGAAAGACAGGGGATGTCTCCTCGTGGGCCACCGACGGTGCTGGAAGACTCTTCCAGTTCTACAAAGTTAGAAGAGGAACAACTGCAGGAGTGCTGGTTGTAACCTTCAAACAGAGCCAGTATTACATGATACTTTGCATCTTGTTTGAGTGAGAAGGGAAATACACCGTGGAGTAGGATGGTACTTCTCCTGAGCTTGGGAAATGTCCACATCATTACTTTTTCCCTATTGCTTCTATGTTCTTGCATGGAAAGATGTTCAAGAGTATTCTCCACAAAGGGCATCAAAAGCCATTGATTTATCCCCTGCTCCGATTCCACATCTTCCTTGTGTTGTGTACCATTGTGTATGTAAGCAAAGAAATTAGTCTCAGGATGTTACCTCTTGAAGAAGAAATACAAGCTGGTGGCAAATAAAACTGCAATTTGTATGATGTGGCAGTTACTGGCCGTATGTCATTATTTAGGTTGCTACAAAGATTTTACAAAATATAGTTTGCCAAGCTTTTCAGATGTAAGTTGTAGCTTATATCTTAGCCCTGATGCAGTGTGGATTATTTAGTTCAGGCAGTTGTTGACTTGCTTGCCAAGTTGGTAAGTTCGTTCGCAAATATTTCGTCCTTGAGTATGGAACAGGTACTTGACTACAATAGCAATCATCCTGATACCCACAAACGGAGCTGCATCAAAACACTGTTTGAGTGAGCTGCAACACACTGCAGCAACCCAGAGCTACGCAAAGCTGAGGAAGAACATCTATACAGTGTCTTTAGAAACAACGGTTACCTGAAAAGCGTAGTCCGTCAATACCTACACGACAGACTACAACAGGAAGACACAACATGTCCAGAGACACTAGTCACCTTTCCATACATTAAGAGCAAAGCTGAAAAGATCACCAGATTACTCCGCCCCCTTGGAATCATGGTAGCCCACAAACTGACAGCTACTGACGAGAATACAGGATCCGACATTCACAACTAACAGAAACAACACTATTTACAAGATACCATGAAAAGACTGCCAAAAACATTACATAGGGCAAACTGGAAGGAAACTAGCCATCAGGATTCATGAACACCAACCAGCTACCAAGATACATGACCAACAATCACTCATTTCAATGCACACGGACAAAGGGGACACCAATTCGACTGGGACAACGTAGCCATCCTAAGACAAGCCAAGCAAAGACATGCATGAGAACTCCTGGAGGCCTGGCACTCAAACTGGAACTCCATTAACAAATATGTAGAGCTGGATCCCATATACCAGCCATTAAGAAACAAGTCCAGAAGTGATACCACCCACCCCAGCAAACCAAGACACATAAAAAGCAACAGAACACCAATGCTTCAATGGAGGCGCACTGATGATATTACCTAGCAGGGTGACGAAACGTTTGCGAACGAACTTACCAGCTCGGCGAGCAAGTCAACAATCGCATCAACAACCCGAGCTACAAATCTTCTCAAAAACCTTGAACACGTTCAATGTTTCTGTTGAGAAAGTGAATTCATCACTCTGGAAGTGGCCTGAGTAACTCATTTAAGGTCTTGCCCAGAATAAGCACGTTGAGCCATCTAATGGTATAACTCAGGGTGCATGAACTGTTCCCCCTTGTGATGTGAACCAGATATTCATGTCTTTTGCATGTCATCTCTCCATTAGGTTTTCCAAAGTTGGACTGATAGAACAATAGGTAAAGTGAGGTTGGATAATGATCAGCCAGGTGCTTTATTTCACAGAGTGTGAATATACAAGGCTGGTTATGATTGCTTTCTTGTAATTTTCTCTATACATGAGAATTAGTGAAAGGGCTGTTGAAATCTCTAGGACCTGGATATGGATCACCAGTAAATGTGAATGTAGGTAAAGCTGCAGGTTCAACTGAGGGGAATCTGAGTCAGGCCTTTCCCTGATTCTCTTGCACACCATTGGCATTTATTCTGCTCAGATGTTTGAGTGTTGTCAAGCAAATTCAGAGAAATCTTACAAACAATGGCATCAAAGCATTAATAGGAGACTGTGTCACTCTGTTGAACATTGTGTGCGTGCGTGTGTGTGTGTGACCCACATTGAGAAACTGGGGACATTTCATGAATATTGTATTTGAGTATTTGAGTATCAGGCAAAGAGTTGGTCACAGAGAATTGGAGAGGGTAGAAAGCTGACTGGCTAAAAATTGAAACAGTGTCATCAACTTTATCTAGCCAAAAGGCAAGTCTTATTTTGCTAAAGATAGGAACAACTTAGCAATGTCAATGCAACATGTTTTGGGTTAGGTCAGTAATGTGGTTGCTAGAGGACAAATGTTCTCCTCCTGGTGTGGAGCCTTGCCCAATAGCAATGCATATAGAGAAATCATTTGCAATTTTCCATTTGGAAAGTCCTTAGCAAAGTGAACATTCCTTGGGATGTGCTGTTGAAGCAGTGAAACTTAAGACACAAACGATTTCTATAGCAGTAAAGAAGTTTGAGAAACAATTCAAAGGCACTTTTCCTTAAATTATGGAGTTTAGAAAGAAAGAATAAGTAAAAGTTATTTGCAGTGGTTGGGAGGCAATTATGTTAGGGTTATTAACTCAAAATAGACATTAAGAGAAAGAAAGGAGAAGTTTGTTCACAGAGGGGGGCAGGAGCATGGAATGCTTTGCCACAGGGAATAGTTGGGATGGAGATCATTAATCAGACAAATTTAAAATGGAGCACCTTACTTGGGAAATTGAAAAGATGTCACTGGTGGTGAGGACGTGAGTTTCATAGGGAGACAGACACTGGAGATACATGTAAATCAGATGTCCTCCCAGTGGCACTGGGACCACATTGAACTTTGTTTGCACTGTAAATGATTTTGTCATTAGGTGTTTAGCACACTTGCCTTCATTGCTCAGACCTTTGAGTATAGAGTTGGAACGTTGTGTTGAGGTTGTACAGGACATTGGTGAGGCCTCATCAGGAGTACTGTGTCCAGTCTGGTTGTCCTGTTATAGGAAGGATATTATTAAGCTGAAAAGGGTTCAGAAAAGATTTAGCAGGACGTTGCTGGGAATGGAGGGTTGAATTTATAAGGAGAAGCTGGGTAGGATAGGCTGGGACTTTTTTCATGGAGCATTGAAGGTTGAGGGGTGACCTTACAGAGGTTTATAAAATCATGACAGGTATCGATTAGGTGAATGGCAGGTGTCTTTTCCCTAGCGTTGGGGAATTTCATGACTAGGGGGCATATTTTTAATGTGAGTGGAGAAAGATTTTAAAAATGAGGGTCAACGTTTTCACACAGAGAGTGTTTCTTATGTGGAATGAACTTCCAGCGGAAGTGATGGATGTGGGTACAGTTACAACGTTCAAAAGACATTTGGATAAATACATGAGTAAGAGATGTTTGGAGGAATATGGGCCAAGTGCAGGCAGATGTGACTAGTTTATTTTGGGATTAGGTTAGGTATGGACTGGTTGGATCGAAAGTCTGTTTCTGTGCTAAATGACTCCACGACTCTTTATTTTTTGAGATGTAGACCAAACGTGGTCCGCAGCAGGCAATAAGCGTCCCATCATGCATGACTAGGGTCATATATAGGTGAGTACATAGGGGAAATGGGTTCCCATATTTGAAGACATTGGCGAACAAAGGGGTTTTTAAAAGAAGCTGTAAGTTTTAGACAATTGCTCAAATGCCGATTTCCTAATTCAGCATGACAGGACTTGACCTCTCAACTTCTAGAACAACCAATCCAGAACAATAAACACTTACAGTGCTGTACATTCATTGAATCTCCAGCGTGGAAGGAAACACAAAGAGGTCACACTCTCAGCTGAGCATGGCAAGGGATGGTTACATTCATGAAATGTATGGGCCTGCCAGTTCTCGATAGTAAGATTCCACGTGGCACTTACCGGACACAGAACAGTTCGTACCTGGAGCTGCTTACCTTGCATTGCCAGACACGGTTTTCTTCCTCCTAAACATATCAAGCAAGCTGTTGGATCTGCAGGCAGCTTTCCCATCGCCGACATGCATGCGCACAACATCAGAGGTGGTGAAGGCGCTACGGACATTGCGTTCTGGCTTGGCGATGATGATGTAGATCTTTGGAGTGAACATGCAGCCCAGAGCTACCGTCACACTTAAGCTGACCGAAAAACTGGTGGTAATAATCTTGTAGTTGCTGCCAAAGTAGATGGGGACAAAGGCAAGCCATATGATGCATGTAGTGTACATGGTGAAGGCTATGTATTTGGCTTCATTGAAATTTGCGGGAACGTTCCTTGTCTTGAAGGCATAGTAGGTGCAACTCATAATGAGAAGCCCATTGTACCCCAGAGGGGCTACAACGCCCAGGTTGCTTGTGTTGCAGATTAGGAAAACCTCATTGATACTGGGGTAGGAGAGGACTGGCGTTGGGGGCTCGAGGATCAACAGTGTGACTACTATGGTCAACTGAACGCTGATCAAGATGGAAGCGATCACCAACTGAGCCCATGCACTCATGAACCTTGGCTTGCGAGTGCAGATCTTCTTTTTGCTACCAGCCAGGATCCTGGCAATACGGTTGGTTTTAGTCACCAAGGCAGAGTAACACATGGCAGCAGCAAGCCCAACCAGGATCCTCTGAAAGTAGCAGGAGGCCAAGGTTGGCTTGGCCAACAACGTGAATGGACAGATGTAGCCCAGGAAGATACCAGCCAGGATGATGTAGCAGAGCTCACGGCTCGAAGACTTGACCACCGGCGTGTCCCTGTATAACACGAAGATAAGGGTAACAAACATGGTGGCTAGGATCCCTAAACAGGAGAAGACAACGGCGATAGCAGACTCTATGTCACTCCAGCTTAAGTGCTTCACATCAATCCTCTTACAACCTGCAGAAAAGTAGGTAAAAAATGGTTCAGAAAATGAGTCGTTTGGTTGTCAGGCCTTCATACATCTCTTTATGAGGCTCAGTGTCAAACTCAACTTGATAATGCTCTTGGGAACTGGCTTGCGGTGTTTACTCTTGGGCAAATGTACTATAGGTTTATAGGTACTAAAGGCATATAAATGCAACTCATTGGTTCATACAAATTATTCTATTGGTTTGTAAAATCGAATGGTCGGTATTTTCTTTCATGTTGGAAAACAGAGAAAAATGCCTGTTTCTAGTAGAACCATATGGTAATCAAATTAAGGGAAGGTAGGACTTTGGAATATTTCCTGAGAGCATGCTTGGAGTAATAGCAGCCAATTGCAAGCCATGGATTATGGATCAGTAACAAGCCACTTGATATTTGTAAATAAAGAAGTTCACTACCCTACTTGTGTGTACTTTCCCAGAAAAAGGCTGAATAAGTGAGAAAATCCCAGGTTTCCAACCAAGCCCAGAAACACACAGACTACTTTTTTCATCGGCAAAGCAGAAACAGATTCTGTTTGGCAAATGAGGCCCCAAATACATAATTGAAAGTGGGATCTCTGGTGATGAAATTTGACTTTATTGGAGTTGCATAATGGTATCACCATTTGGATGCCTATTCTGTAGTTTGCTCTTGAGTTCTACTTTAAATAGCTTAACATTTTAATGAGGGTTGTGAATGGTTGCCTCCCAATCACTTGTTGGCAAATCAGGGTCTAGGCCCGAAATGTCAGCCTTTCTGCTCCTATGATGCTGCTTGGCCTGCTGTGTTCATCCAGCCCTGCACCTTGTTGTCCCATACAATACAAGTTGGGATGTGAGGTCAGGGACCAGATATTCTAACCCAGCTAATTGCAAACAGATTCAGAGATTCTCTGCTGTTGTAAAAATTAGTAAGTTTTGACTGTGCTGCTGTGGAAGTCTGCATGAGTTGGTCATTGATGATCTTTAAGATGACCTTAACAAGTGAAAAATAGCGCTTTATCTTTTCTGCCAGCCTGTCTTTGATCACAGGACACAGCAAATGCAATATTCCACAGTGGCTGGATGAAAATTCCAACACTGTCTCATTGACACACAACAAATTTGGATAGAACTGCAAATGCACCTTTCCCATTTGGTTGTCACATGAAGTGGGGTGTCCTCATGCACTTTGGCATCTTTAGCCTAATCTCCCACACAATGGCGTGTACACACACAAAACACATGTTGGGCACAGGGAAAAAGTTCAGCTAAAGCCTTAGGCTCTGGTTGGAAGGAGAGGGCTAACTGGTACAAATTTATTGCAGACATTAATTCACATATTTTAGGAGTGTATTTCATGAACCTTAAAAATCAGAATTGTTTAATTTTCAGGTGCCTATAATAAATACATCCTCTTCTAAGTGAAGAAGAGAAATGGACAATGAAATCTGTATGGATTATTTCATCAGTCAGACAGGATGCTTTAATATTACTTTGTGGTTAGTAGTACCTTTGACAATAATGTAGCAACTTAATCAGTCAGTTCTCTACAAGCCTCTTTGGTATATATGACCATGTTTTAATTAATCGATCTTTCATGGGTATTTGACTAATAACTTGGATAAGGGGAAAACTGAAGCCAATTGTGATTTCTTTGGATTTTACATATATATGGCACATTGAAGGTGCAATGTGCTGAGATGTGTTGAGCTGGCTCAGTGCATAGTACTTGCAGTATTGAAGCAGAAGCTTCCTTAGACTTGAGCAAAAAATCTAGGCTGACATCTCCAGCGTAGTACAGAGGGAGCTTGATGAGTTATTTTTTAGATGAGACTGCTCTTATAATTGGATAATAAAGATCCTGTGGGCATTATTTTGAAAGGCAGTTAGATTTTCTGCTGTGTTCTGACCACATTTAACACTCAACCAACATCATTGAAACTGTTGAATAAAGGCAAAATACTGCTGATACTGGAAACTGGCAACAAACACAGAGAACATTAAAGAAACTCAGCATCTGTGGAGAGAGAAATGGAATTAAAGCTTCAAATCTGGTATGACTCTTTTATCGGAAGTTTGGTATGAGTCTTCTTCATGTAAATGGTCTGATTAGTAAGTTTGCAGATGACATGAAAATTGGTGGAGTTGTGGACAGTAAGGGAGTTTTCAAAGGATTCAACAGGATATAGATCAGCTGGAAAGCTGGTGGAGAAATGACAGACAGAGTTTAATCCAGACAAGTGTGAGGTGATATATTTTGAGAGGTCAAATGCAAGAGGAAAGTATACAGCAAATGGCAGGATCCTTAGGAGTATGGATATACAGAGGGATCATGGGGTGCAAGTTCAGAGCTCCCTGAAAGTGGCAACATAAATGGATAAAGTGGTAAAGAGGTGTAGGGCTTGCTTGCCTTCATCGATCAGGACATTGAGTATAAATGTTGACAAGTCTTGTTGCAGCTGTATAAAACTTTAGTCAGGCCACATTTGGAACAGTGTGTGCAGTTCTGGTGACGTCACTACAGGAAGGATGTGGAGGATTTTGAAGGGGTGCAAAAAGGTTTATCAGGTTATTGCAGGATTGGAGTGGATTAGCTAAAAGGAGAGTTGGACAAACTTGGATTGTTTTCACTAGAGCATAGAAGGCCGAGGGCAACCTGATAGAAATCTATAAAATTATGAGACATGGATAGGGTGGATAGTTGGAGTCTTTTTCCGAGGGTGGAAATGTCAAAAAGTAGGGGGCATAGTTTAAGATGAGAAGGAGAAAGGTTAAAGGAGACGTGCAAGACATGTTTCTTACGCAGAGAGTGATACATGCCTGGAATACATTGCCATGGGAGGTGATAGAAGCAGATATGATAGCAATGTTTGAGACGCATTTAGACAGATACACGTGCAGGCAGACAATAGAGGGATATGGACCATGTGCAGGCAGATGGGATTAGTTTAGAATGGCATCAAGGTTGGCACACACATGCTGGGCCGAAGCACCTGTTCCAGTGCTGTACTGTTCTATATTCTGTGCTCAGTTCTGAAGAAGACTCATATCGGTGTTGAAACGTTAACTCTGTTTCTCCGTTTCAGGTGCTGCCAGACGGTGCTGAATGTCTCCAGCATCCTCTGCATTTGTCACTGATGCTGACTGGCTGATAGTTTTCACTTGACTATGTTGGGAGCTTGCAGAAAATCAATCAATATGGAGATCGCCCTGCTATAGAAGGGAAAAAACTTGACCTTCTCTTAGGAAATAAAGCAGGGCAAGTGACTGAGGTGTTAGAAGGGGAGCACTTTGGGCAGTGACCAGAATTCTATTAGTTTTAAAATAATTATGGGAAAGGATAGGCCTGGTCCGTAAGTAGAAGTTCTAAATTGTGGCAAGGCCAATTTCGATGGTATTAAACAGGGACTTTCAGTAGTTGACTAGGAGAGGCCGTTCTCAGGTAAAGGGATATTTGGCAAGTGGGAGGCTTTCAGGAGTGAGATAACGAGAGAAAATGACCAAGATGTTCCTGTTTGTGTGAAGGGTAATCCTGGCAGGAGTAGAGAACACTGAATGATTAGAGGTATCGAGGCTTTGGTCAAGAAAAAGGAGAAGGCACATGTCAGGTATAGGCAGCTGGGATCAAGTAAATCACTTAAGGAGAATAGGGGGTGCAGATTGTACACCTAAGGGGGAAATCAAGAAGGCAAAAAGGGAATAGGAGATAGCTTTGGCAAATAGGCTAACGGAGAATCCACAGTGATTCTACAGGTATATTAGGGATGAAAGACTAACTAGAGAAACAATAGGGCCCCTTAAAGATCAATGACGTCATTTAGGTGTGGAACCACAGGAGATTGGAGAGATCCTGAATTAATATTTCCCATCTGTATTTACCGTGGAGAAGGACATGGAAGCTAGGGAACTCTGGGAAATAAAGTGATGTCTTGAAAAGAGTCTACATTACAGAAGAGGAAGTGCTGGAAGTCTTAAAATGCATAAAGGTAGATAAATCCCTGGGTCTTAATCAAGTGTACCCAGGATGTTGTGGGAAGGGAGTGAAGAAATTGTGGGTCTCTGAGCAGAGATGTTTGGACCATCAACAACCAAGGGTGGGGTACCGGAAGATTAGAGGTTGGCTATTGTGATGCCATTATTTCAGAAAGGCTGCAAGGAAAATCCAGGGAACTATAGACTAGTGAGCCTAATGTCAGTGGTGGGTATGCTGTTGGATCGGATTCTGACAGACAGGATCTCCATGCATTTGGAAAGGCAAGGACTGATTAGGGATAGTCTGCATGACTTTGTGCGTGGGAAATTGAGTCTCACAAATTCGATTAAGGTTTTTGAAGAGGTCACCAAGAAGATAGATGAAGGCAGAATAGTGGACATTGTCTACAGGGACTTTAGCAAGGCCTTCGATAAGGTTCAGTGTGGTAGACTGGTTAGTAAGATTTGATCCCATGGGATCCAGGGAGAGCTAGCCTACTGGGTACAAAATTGCCTTTTGGAAGGATTCAGAGGGTGATAGTAGAGGGTTATTGTTCAGACTGGAGGCTGGTGTCCAGCAGCATGTCACAGGGATCAGTGCCGGGTCCACTGTTGTTTGTCATTTATATAAACCATTTGGATGAGAATATAGGAGGCATTGTTAGTATGTTTGCAGATGACACCAAAACTGGTGGTATAGTGGACAGTGAAGAAGATTAATTGAAGATTTAACAGGATCTTAATCAACTGGGCCAGTGGGCCAAGTATGGCAGATGGAGTTTAATTCAAATAAATGTCAGCTGTTGCATTTTGGTAAGACAAACCAGTACAGGACTTACACAATTAATGGTAGGGCCCTGGGGAATGTTGTCAAACAGAGAAACTGAGGGGTGCAGATACATAGTTCCTTGAAAGTGCCATCATAGGTAGACAGGATGGTGAAGGTGGTGTTTGGCACGCGTGCCGTTATTGGTCCGAGCATTGAGTACAGGAGTTCGGACATCATGTTATGGCTGTACAGACAATGATAAGGTC